ATTACACATATGGCCCATCCTTCTTTCTGACCATCTTTGGTATTTTCCTCATTATGAGTTTTTTGCACTATGCTTGTAAGTTTATGATTGCTGTGGCATGCTGGTAACTTAGAAAACTTACTAAATTACTCTGTCAGTAACTTAGTTAAAAATTTCTACCTTTTCAACTTTTGTTTCTGGTTAACTCTTTTGCTTCATCCTCATTTACCATTTCTTTTTCAGGCAGGAGCTATGTTGGGGGATGCTTTTCTTCACCAACTACCACATGCTTTTGGTATGCTATGCATCAGAACCTGTCTTCAAACCATTTTTTTTCGTCTTTAAAAATTGTTATCTCTTTGTCTACATACTTAATGATTGTTCTTATTCGTAGGTGGTGGACATTCCCATTCTCGTAGCGACCATGCAGACCATGATCATGACCATGACCATGATGCTAGTTCTGGACATGGACACTCACATTCCTTAGCCGATCTTTCTACAGGAATGTCAGTCCTAGGTTAGTAGTGATATGCTTGATATATCTTACCAACCACGTCAATTATGCACCTCATATACATATATTTTGAATTAGTTGCTTCCTTTTTTCCACTAACTAATTGCATGGAATAAGTTTTTATTTATCTTATCTTCATTTAGGTAATAAAAAACTTTGGCATCCGAGAAAGGAAGTACTTATACATTTTCTGTGGTTGTGATTGATCTCTTTCATCTCTGAATCAGTGTTGTAATTGCAAATAGCGGAAAGCCAAAAATATGCCATTTTAGGCTGACATATCCATATCCACCATAAAATGTCATGGAATCGCCATCCTTGTCAAATTGGCCACGGCGATTCGGTTGTATCGCCACCCCAATCCACTATGGCGTCGTCATGACCGATATTTGACAACACTATAGATTTCTCTCGTCAGTTTTTTATATTTAGAAATTTGTATTATTTAGATGGGTTCTTAGAGCCACTCATTCTTGTTATGTTTTCTGGTTCTTGCAGCTGGAATTGTACTCTTTCTTCTTGTGGAGAAGCTAGTGAGGTATGTCGAAGAAAACTCTGGAGGAGCTAATTCGTGGGGGCATGGACACCACCACCATAGCCACAACAGCAAGAAAAAATTGGAAGATGATAATAATTCTGATGTCAACAATCAGTCACAGTCTATCAAAACAAAAAAAGAGAGATTGGCAGATGAAGGGAAAGAAGACAATCAGGTATCACATGACTCATTGAAGGGAGATAGGCTAGCTCAAACTGAATCTTCTCTTAGAAAGGTAAGATGAGCATTTCACTACATTTGACTGAGGTTGAAACATTATTGGTTAGGCTTGAAGCATTATTGATGTCACAGCTATGCTAGGACTTTTACTATTTAACATTGGTGCAATATCTGATGTTTAGCTAGTTGTGCTGATAGTTATTAAAGATAAATAGGATAATAGGACAAGATAAGGAAAACTTCAACAGCCATAGTAGGTTTGTTATTAGACATATTAGACATATATAATTGCTTCATATAATTTGTAGTGCTGTATAGATGCGAAATCCGAACAGCTTATTTTCTTAGTGTGATTTAGCCTCACTTAGGTTGAAAGGTACATTAAAAGTGATGACTGATGAGAAAAATTTAACTGACATATGATGTATGAATTCATGCGTTACAGAGAATTGGAAGTAATACAACCAAAGGTGATAGTCTCAATGATAATGCTGAAGATAGCTCCACTGATAATATCAAACCTTCAATTGTTAAAGAACCAGTTAGACCAGCAAGTAGTCTTGTGTTTGGCTATCTCAATCTTTTCTCTGATGGAGTTGTAAGTGGTATTGACCTTTTGTTTGTTTAATTGAAGTAAAATTTTCCATTGTTCATGCAAACTCTGTAAATATTGCAGCATAATTTCACTGATGGAATTGCATTAGGAAGTGCATTCATGCTTTATGGGTCAGTTGGTGGCTGGTCTAGAACTCTGTTTTTGTTGGCACATGAAATTCCTCAAGAGGTTCAATTTCATCCTTATTCTATAACATGCTCAGTTTGATGTCAATATTCGTAACATTTTACCTCAGCATCTCATTTAGTTAGGCATAACATAGATTGCAGCAGACAATTTACAAAAGTATTAAAGTTTGTCTGTTTAATTTGACAATGTGCAGCAAATATTTATGTTTGTTGTGTCCTACTATTTTATATGGTTATACTTCTTTCATTTTTCTTGTTGGTTGAACTTCATAAAATGCTTAGTTATTTTGGTTACTAATTTGAACAAGAAAAAATTAGCTCAAGTTTAGCTGGAAGGCACTTCACTTTTCTTGTTGCTGATCATATTTAGTGCTTTTGATTTGGGTATTTAAGAAACAGTTGATTTGCGTCTGTTTTAAGTAAATTTGCAAATTTCATAACTATTTTATTCCACTAGTTTTTTGGCGGCCAATACATGTATCATCTATGTGAAATACTTCTGTATTTTTAGATACTAAGGTAAGATTCTCATTGGAACATAAAGAAGTGTTTATACAAATTGTGTTTAGGCTATAATTCCTGGCCAGTTAAAATAAAGATAAAGTTATAATTATTTTGTAATCCTCATAATGGTTGAATCTGTTTGATGCTTTGAAAGATAACTTGCTTCCTGCATAAAAGATCAATCTTTATACGGATTCAGAAGTGATAAGGTGATTTGGGGGAAAAGAACATAAAGGTTGGAGAAATAAGGGATCGTGGGTTCACCTCCCACATTAATATTTCTAACAGCTAATTAGTAATTACCAACATTTTGTCATGAAAAAGAGAGCTTCGTGCCTACTTTTGCAACTATGATCAACCTAGCATGAGATGCCAGATATTAAGTATCTTGCTTTCATGACCAAAATTTTAAATCTCGGTTATAGTCACTGCCGTGTCTAGATCCAGTGTACTTTTGCAATCATGACCAATCTTGCTTGAGACGCCGTGTATATATTAGCGTACTATCTTGTTTTCATGACTAAGGTCTTAAATCTCTGTCGCAGTCACTGTTGTGTCTCGATTCAGCTGATGCGACTGCTGTTGCGGTTATGATAGTCTCTTTTCAGGGAAATATATATATTCAATATCAGGTTATATGATGTTTTAATTGGGGAAATAAGACTGCTGCAAGTGACACTTTTTTGCCGTTTCGTACTTTATTATTTGTCAATTTGCTTTGAGCAAAGTAAACTGTTCCTATTTTTCTATATTGAATTAATTTTATCATCACCCTAATTGCATTGATATCACCAGTTTCTGATCTTATTTGTTTCCCAATAGGAGTTTTATGCATTTCGTTTCTTCTGCATACAGGTTGGTGATTTTGGTATTTTGATAAGATCTGGTTTCAGCATACCAAAAGCTTTGTTCTTCAACTTTTTATCAGCACTGGTGGCACTTGCAGGCACTGCATTGGTGAGTGTTGCCTTCATTCAATAGGGAGGTGTTTAATGGATTCCCAAACATCATATATGCATGCAACATTTAACCAAAATAGAAATGTACATATTAGTTCAAGTCCGGAATTCCTTAGTTGTCAGGTTAAATGTAAAATTCAACTCTAAATCCTTGATGAGTTTGGTGACTCTTTCTGACCTTGCATGAGATGTGCCTCCCCTAATCAAATATTTGTCATCATAAAAAATACTGTGCATACTGGCAATAGTCTGTTCATGAATTTTGTAGTTAGGACTTAAGTCACCTTACGAATCATATTGTATGCAAAATTAGTGACTGGAAGAGCTGATTTAAGTAAATGAGCATTGGGGAAACAAGGATAATCCAGTTACCTAATAAATTTCTTCTTTTTGGTATAGGCTCTGCTTTGGGGAAAAGATCCTGGGCAGTCATCTCTGATTGAGGTGAGGAATGTTTCATAATGTACCTGTTGGTTGAGTTGTAAGCAAAATTTGGTACTGACTGTCTCCAATTTAACAGGGATTTACAGCTGGTGGATTTATATACATAGCCATTGCAGGAGTGCTTGCAGAAATGAATAACAATGGGAAGACAACGTTTAGAAGTACAGTTGTTCATATTATCTCACTGTCAATGGGCATGGCTGTTGCCCTTGGCATTTCCCTTATAGAATGAATTAGACGTGTTCTCTCTTAGGACTTGCATATCTTGATTCTTGATGTGCCAATTGTTTTACTAAATGTAAGCAAATTATTTATAAAAAAAATTTCGTTAGATGTTTTCTGCACAATATGTTGTGAATGCAGAAAAGCTTGCAGCGAAGGTGAACTGGGAGAAAATGATAGATCAAAGCAGAATATTCAGGCTTAAACTTGCATTGATTCCTTAACCGTTACACACAGTAAACTTTGTATAGTAGAAGTCTCCACAAACCATTTATATTTGTCAGATTATGTAGTAACATTTTTGCACCTGTTGAGCTGTATAGCAGTCAAGATGCTTTCTTCTTTCGTATGCCCCTGAGATTAAAAAAGAGACTGACAGTTTGATTGATACTGTACATGTTTTCCTTCTGTGTTTATTCTTTTCATGTCTTTTGGACAAGGAAAGTTGAGCTACATGAATCTCACTCCACGCATTTTTACGAGATGCAAGCTTTGATTTTGAATTTCAATGCCTAGTATTTTAACAAGTAATTAGAACTGTCCACATAGGTAGCTCGTTTGATGAGCCTAAGGGATAATCATAGAACCTTGAAAATTAACATAATCATTAACTTACTAACATTTGTATAAATAAATTAAAAAAACAAGTAATTAGAATTGTGTAATCTGCTCATTTGAAAACACTTTAAAGTATAATAATTAGAATTGTGTAATCTGCTCATTTGAAAACACTTTAAAGTATAATAATGTCTCGATGAATAAAAAAACACGAATGATACATTCTTTTTGACAACATATGATGAAAACTCAGGGCTTTTCATCCATCAACGCTTCGGACCTGCTCTATTTTGAAGTTCTGTTACCTAGCTTATGATCAAAATGCATCCCTTTCTGCATGTAATTTATTTCTTTGTTAAGACTCAAACTTGTCCAATTGCTGAAGCACTTGAAAGATAGTGATATTCTGGGATTGTAGGGGAGGGAGACTTGGCATTCTCATCAATGGAGTCATCACAATGTCTCCTCCAGATCCATGCGTGAGAGTGTGATGCCTCTTTCGTACCCCTCGAGCCGGGGCATCTGTGTCCGTGGCAGCTGTTCTTCTTCTTATGCTTTCTGTTTTCCTCTTGTCATGCATCCTTTCATCCTGCAAAAGTTATGCATCCTTTCATGAATATAAACTCTTACCATTGTACCATTCTAATACTTTTAGTACTATTATTATCTATTATTATATTGCAGATAAAGTACACAACCTGAAATTTCTAATTTGGTTGGTCCCTTAGCCTACTAACACATTATTATTTGAACACAAGTAGAAGGCAAATGCAGAAACATACCATGTGCAGGAAAGCATAAAGTAAACATAAAGAACAATGCTGCATTGTTTAATATCCTTTACCATGCAAAACATGCTTTGCCATCTTAAGATAAGTAAACAACAAAAGAAAGATATCACATGCTTACACTAATGACTGAAGATTCAGGCATTGGACATTTCACAGGACGATCTTCATCTGGTGGCTCCAAAGGGTGTTCCACTGGGAAGAAATCTGTGTTGTTATCAACCCTCAGATGAGGATGATGGTACACTTCCATGATGATACTGCTCTGTGTTGTTGCAATAGTCTCATCTATTAAGGAAAACTCCATCTCCTTTTCTTCCTAAAATGTACAAAATTAGTGCAATATATCTTTCATGAGTACACTATATGTATGTGTTTGATGAAGAGAAGAAGAAAACTTACAAAGTGATCCCCACATGAAAATCCCATGAAAATATATACTATAAGCAGATGCCAGAATGAAGCTGAGAAAATGTTGGTTTGTCTGTCTATCTAAGATTTATGTCTCTCTATGATAATGAAAGAGAAAGAGAGAGCATAAAAAGGAGAGAGAGATAGGCAAGGTGGGATCAGCTTACACGGTTGAAGAGGAAGAAAGATTCCCTCCCATTGGGATTTTGGTATTGCTTTTGAAATTTCAACCTTTTGCTTTTTCTTCTGTTTGTTGTTTTGTTTTTTATATGGGTCCTTGTCTCTTTTTTTTTTCTTCCTTCTTTTTAACAAGGGTAGCAGTATAGTGCAGTATGGTTGAAAATCTTACCATCCTCTTTATCTCTCTCTCCACATACACTTTTTGCTTTTCTTGGATTTTGCAGGAGAAGGAAATAGGCAAAGGATTTTTGTGTTTGATGCTAAGTTACGTTACATTACACAATAGTATATATTAAAGAGGAAATTAAAATGAAAGAAGAAAGCATAGAAAAATGAGGTGAGGGGAAAGAGAAAGCGAAGCCGAAAGCAAACATATTATCTTGTCATTGGCCATGACTTTGTCTTTCAATTCACACTTTTCAATGCATTCCTAAAGTAAAGGCAATGCTGCTACGTATAACTAACACACTATTTCTCGTAAAAATAAATTATACAGTACTGTATTATAGATGTGTAGTAGTTTGCATGCAACATATCAAAGGTTGCTACGTTATTTTACATGTCTAGAGATTCATATCAAAGTATACAATGCCGGATTTGACCACTGAAGAAATGACAAAGGGACCACAAAACAAATACACATCACTTAATTCCTAGTCCAAACAAAAGCATACAAAATCTGTTTATAGTGTTTTCTACTTGTCTTTTGAATAGAGGGAAAAGTCTGGTCGAGGAGATTGTTTGTGTTTTTAGCTCTGATTTAGTGTTTTAAGGTTTGATTAGTTTGCTTTCTCTATTTGCATCAGTAATGTGTCATGCTTTGTTGTGTTGATACTCGAATTATGAGATACTCCTTATTCTGGTTGTTAGGACATTATTATTTTGGGCCTAGTTTGATGTAGGTATTGCATAGTTTGGTTTTGCTCTTTTCAATCTCATGTCATTTAACTTAAAGCAGATAAAACCACCCCTATATATTTTAAGATAAACGTTTTTAATTTTAATTATGAATTATATTAGAGAATTATTTTAATTCATAAATGTATGTTTGAAAATTTTGACCTCCTCTTAAGGTTATTATCTTTGCAGTTGCTTAAGAAAAAGGTGCATATTCTCTATAATCTTTTCATTAAAAGAGTTTTTTTTACAGATTTTAGTAGTATTATCTTTGTATTTTTTTTGTTGTGGTAAGTCGGTTGAGATAAACAAACATTTCTTTGTTATCAATTTTTTGTATTAGTTGGTTAAGTGTATGTTTGGATTGACGGTAGATAAAATTGATTTTAGTAGAAGTAGCTTTGATAAAATTGATTTTAATAGAATTGAGTTTAGTTGAATTGATTTATGTTTGAATACATTTATATAAAAATGAGTTGAACAATAAATTTCAGTGTAAAAATCATTCATAATCAATTCTGGAGGTAGAAGTTTCAAATTCTAACTTCAAGTAGAATCAATTCTGGAGACAAAATCAATTCTACTTTTAACAAACTAAACACTTCAAAATCACCCAGAATCAATTCTACATTTCTAGAATTGATTCTGGATCTTGTAGAAGTGGAACCAAACTTACACTAAAAGTTTTACTTAGAAGTGATTTTGTGAAAAAGTTTGCAAGATTATGAGTGAAAAAGAATTTTGAAGAAATGCATTTTGTTTGATCCCTTTTAACGTGACCATCTTTCATTTGAGCGATGCATGCAATATTATTTTCATATATGGTTGTTGTATATATGTTTTCGAAAGACAAACCACAAGTCTATTGTATATGTTGAATTATGGATCTCAGCCAAACACATTCTCGATTTGCCTCATGTAGTGCTAAAAATTCTGCATGATTTAAAAAAGTTGGTGTTATGGCTTATTTCACAGATCTCCATAAAATAGTTGTACCATTGCAAGTAAACAAATAATATGTTTGTAATCTACCATAATGAGGATTTAACAAGTAATATGTAACTCTAAGATACTAAAGTATATGTTTGACTTCATTCCAATGTCTTTGAGTAGGTGAAGAACAATATCTTGCTAATAAATTGACAACAATTGATATATTATGGCATGCATAATTAGTAAGATATTCCACTACTCGAATTACAGTGAGATATGGTACTTTACGGTCATAGTTTTTCATCATCTTCTCGAGGTATGAAATTATCTTCTCCATATTCAATTATCTAACAATCAATAGGATAGATAACAAATGAGATTTGTCCGTATAAAAATATTTTATCACTTTGTTAGTTGGGATTTTTTACAAGACTTTAAAAATCCAGGTAAAGTAAGAGGAAGATGCAAAACCTCTTAGATGAAGTGCTATTTTAGGGTAAAAAGCGTGGTCGATGCATGTAATGACGATTGTTCGACACAAGATAAGCGAATTAGAGGTCAAAATCTTGTTCGAAGAGAGTTGTGGACTTATGATATTTTTGGATAGAAAGATTGATAGTTCGACCAAGGCAATTACATAGATAAAAGAAGTTGACACAAGTGAACATGGTATAATAATCGTTCGTCACCTTATCCCCAACATAGAGACGTGTATGAGCGGTTAACAGAGACAAAATACATGCAACGATACATGGCATTCTCTAGAGAGGAGCCCACCATAAAGTAATTATTTATTTGTATTATAAGTAGTAGTTTCATTATCAAATTTAGTGGTGTTCAAATTATTACCAAACTCATGCAAAACTCAAAGTATCCAGCGAAGCGCGAAATGAGTTTGACAAGTGCAATGTACGTTTGATCACCAAATTACCATTAATGCAAAGCTTTTAACTTAGTTTTTATTTACTTTTATTTACATTTCCCAGTCGTTATCTTTACATTTTTAGTCAAATCTTCACTGTTAGTTATTTTAAAAATGCATAACGTGATCTCGACCACTGTCGAAATCACTCAAACACTCACCATTTTTACTATATTTGAAAAAGTCCAAGCATAATGTTCTGGGATTCATTAGTCGATCTCGCAAAGCAATCTTTAATAAGAGACTAGTGTTGTTTATCAATTTTCAGGGTAAACAAATTGGCACGCCCGATGGGACCCTGTGCTAATATTTTCAACTATTTTGTTAATTTGATTGTGATTTTCATTGTGTATGGTTTGTTTTGCATGACAATAATATTTGTTTATGCACGAACTTGATCAGTGGGGAAAATTCTGTAAAATGTCATGTCCTAGAACAAACACTAACACTTCCAACCCTACACAAAGCAAATCTCATAATCTGGATGTCATACCAGTCGGTACCACGACCCAAAATGTGATGATTTTATCCCCTGTGAGGACGTCAGCTGCCATCGGTTCGATAATAATGATTTCGTCAGTGTTGGTACACCCTGAGGTTTCACCATTTAACCCGTCAAGGGCATTATTTCAAGTAGGTTCAATGCCACCTCCAGGATATTATCAATACAATATGCCTCAGTCGATGATGGCTGACCTTCAGTCGTACATGTCAATGTATGCTGATAATATGATGGTCACATGGCCACCATTTAACCCTCAAAATTCTTTTGTTGCGACCTTTAACACTAGTGGTCGACCAAGAGGGATAAGCTATGCACCTCAGATGACACTGTCACTAAATATGACTTTTGTGATGGCTTTAAGGTAATAGATGGATGCAAGTAATCTCGAGTTGGTAAATAATCTCACCTAACAAATGGGAATTATCCTTAACCCTATGGTCAACGAGATGAGCCTGATTTCCAAATCCTTCGGTGTTCACCCGGTTCAGCCTTGACTAATACCCCAAAGGTCAAATGTTAGATAGATCAACACGCCTGATGATGAGGCGCCCCCAGTAAATCAAGAGCAACCTACGAGGTTTCGTCTACAGGAACCTATGCCTAATGAGGAGGAGGAATACATAGAACAATATAACCCTAGACCAGTGATAATGCGGAGAAACTAAGTTGCTGATCATTTTTTAAGAAATTCCAACCAAAATAACCTAGTAGGGAGCAACAACATTGTGAATTTTGTTGAAGAAGTCCTGGCCCAGAGTGGGCTTAATGCGAGCCTTCATAGGCCTAATTATACATCTGTGTTACCTGATTACATTTGTCAACCAGAGTCGCCTAAGGGATGTAAAGTCCCCAAGTTTACCAAGTTTGTCAGTGATACCAATGAATCGACTGTCGAACACATAGTCAGGTTCAAAACTGAGGTTGGCAACATTGCTAACGAAGAATATTTAAAAATGAGGTATTTTCCCAGTTTATCGATAAAGAATGACTTTAAGTGGTTCACAACCCTCACCCCAAACTCTATATGAACTTGGGATCAACTAGAGAGAGTTTTCCATGAGCAATTCTATATGGGTCAATCAAAGATAAGCCTTAAAGAGATATCCAGTGTCAGATGAAAACTGTTGAGTCAATTGATAACTATCTCAATAGGTTTATATTACTTAAAGCTAAATCCTTTACCAAGGTTCTTGAGCATGAGTTGGTCGAAAGGGCCACTGGAGGTATCTATTATTCTATTAGGAAGAAGTTAGATACTCAGTATCTTAGATATACGACACAACTAGCTGATAGGGTTCGTTAAGTCGAACGCTTGAAAGTTGAGAAAGCCATAACTTCGAAACCCCATAAGAGAGAGAGAAAGTTGCGTATGTCGACACAGAGGAACATTTTTTTTTGGTATTGGATCAATGACTACATGAAAGAGAACAAGGTAAATGTGAAAGAATTAAAGTCAGGACCTCTATATGCATGCAGGGTTTTAAAACCTTAGAATGGGAAAAACCACATTGAATCTAAGAGTGATAAATTATTGCTAAAACTTATACATTTGATGTTACAAAATGCGAGGAAATATTTGAT